TACTTCTTTTCCTGAGCCAGGTCCTGCTCTAACTTCTAAACATGCTCAGGATGGACACCTACCTGGCCATGCCTCAATTCAGCAGCCATTGTCTGGTCTCTAGCAAGCTGCAAGTCAGCCTCGAGCTGGACTACCCTAGCCCTGTGTACATCAGAGACAATCTGGGTGTCCTCGAGCTCCTTCCTCAGACTGATCAACTCCTCCTCCCGGGCAGCAAGGTTAACTTCAAGTTCTGAGGATCTAGCTTCATTAGTAAGTTGTTGGACGACTTTGTTCATCAAGCAAGTAAGATCTCAATCTCGGGTCTTTGAGAAGCTATCTCGAGCCTGGGATCTCAAGATAGTATTCGAGCTTAAAACATGTAGAAACATTATTTTGTCCTTTGTTCTCGAACTAGGGCCTCGAGAATCGTTCTCGACCCTGGTTTTGAGATCGTACCTGCACAATCATAGTAAACAAGAAGACGACGAGCGAATACTACCTTAGACAGTAAAAGTAAGTAAGAAACATTGAGGAATGAGAGTGAATGTGAGGAAGATGATGAAGACTCAAGTTCTGGGGAGCGAAGTGATTTCGAAAAAGAAAAAGTGAAGTGAGGTTAAATGAGGTGGTTTCGAGCTTTTATACAAAAATGTTTACTCCCCCTCAACAGATGCAATATTTAAAATGAAAAACTCCCCCTTGACACATGCATGACAAAAAAAATTATAATGAAAAATAAAATAAAATAAAATAAATAAAAAATAAAAATAAAACACACACACACATGCAACAATTAAGGGTTGATATTTAACATTCCCAACCTTGAGATCATGAAATTGAATCTCTTTTCCTTCAACGCCTTTGTGAATATGTCAGCCAGTTGTAGTTCCGTGGACACAAAATACATGTCCACAGTGCATTTCTCAAGGTGATCTTTAATGAAGTGATACCGAAGATCGATATGCTTTGTTCTAGAGTCCACAGTGCACATGATTGCACGTGATGGCTATGGCGCTTTGGGAGTCGCTGTAGATTGGAATGTGTGAAAAGGTGAAGCCATAGTCCTTCAGTTGTGTCCTCATCCATAATATCTGTGAACAACAACTAGCACTCACAACATACTTTGCCTCAGCTGTAGAAGTTGTCACACGATTTTGCTTCTTTGAGAACCAACACACTAGTTTATCACCCAAGAACTGTGCACTCCTAGACGTGCTTTTTCTATCCACTCGACACCCGGCAAATCTGTGTTAGAGTATCTGACAAGGTCAAAACCTGAGTTCTTGAGATACCATAGGCCAAGATTCAATGTGCCTTTCAGCTACCTCAAGATTTTTTTCACATCGGTCCTTTGAGACTCTTTTTGATTGGCTTGGAAGCGAACACATAGACATGTAGAAAAGACAATGTCTGGTCTACTGGATGTCAGGTACAACAAGGATCCGATGATAACCTGATAATTGGTTGCATCAACCGGTATCCCTGAGGGGTCTGAGTCGAGCTTGCTTGAGGAAAATATTGGGGTTTTCATCGTTGTCTTGTTGTCCATTTTGAATCTTTTGAGCATGTCGTGGTTGTATTTGGACTGATTTATGAAGATCCCTTCTGACATTTGTCTGATCTCTAATCCGAGAAAGGAATTCAACTTTCCTATCATACTCATTTCAAACTTGTGCGCATCAGGTTGCTGAACTTTTTGTAGATTTTTTAGTTTGACAGAGGCAAAGATGATGTCGTCCACATAAATTTGTATCAGTATGATGTCACCTTTATGACGTTTGATAAAGAGAGTTGGGTCTATTTTTCCTTTTGAGAAGCTTGACTCAACAAGGAAATCTGATAAAGCTTCATACCATGCTCTGGGCGTTTGTTTCAATCCACATAGGGCTTTCTTCGACTTATAAACATGATTAGGGCTGTTCTGGATCAACAAACCCCCTTGGTTGTACAACATAGACCTTTTCCTTCAAGTTTGCATTCAAAAAATGCAGTCTTGACATCCATTTGATAGACGGTGAAGCTTTTGTGCGCTGCATATGCTACAAACAGACTGGTGGTCTCTATTCTCGCCACTCGTTCAAAGGTTTCATCGTAGTCGATTCCTTGTTGTTGATTGTAACTTTTCGCAACCAGACGGACCCAAATCTTGTCTCCTGGAAGTCCAAGAAGCAGCCTGCGGTCTCCAAGTCCTCTACTGAAGGCGAAGACTGAAGCCAAAAACTGTGGTCTATCAGCCCTATAGGATATTTTGTAAACTGAAGTCAAACACTTCATAAACTAACACTTACACATACTTTCACAAAGCAATACCAACACTTACTAGTACTTCATTAGTAACATCTCTCAAGACTTCATCCAAATAGACACTTAGTTAGCTAGCTCTAGATATTTTCTCCTCAAAACACCATTTGAAGTGTCAAAAAATGAAAAGTTTAAGGGAAAAATAATTAAAATACCCCAAATTTTGAAGGGGTGTGAAATGAACACTCCAAACTTGCATATGTAATTTAAATACCCTAAACTTTACATAAAAAGTTATTTTAACACCATAGTCAAGTATTATTTCTTTCAAAAATGTAAATTTATATATGGTGTTAATTGGATAATTTAAAATATTTTAGAATCCGTGAAGACACAATTGACATTCTAAATTTCCACTGCGAAATAAATAATGTTACCCCAATCTATATAATTGCAACACTTTTAATTTGCTATTTTAAATTATGCAATTAACTCCATAAATTCACATTTTTGAAAGAAATAATAATGATAATGGGTGCAAAAATAATTTTTTATATAAAGTTTGGGGCATTTAAATAACATATGCAAGTTTGGGGTGTTTACCTCACACTCCTTCAAAGTTTGGAGTATTTTTTTATTATTTTTCCAAAAGTTTAATGTTGAGAAGGTTATTATTACACCTCTCAACGCCCGAGAACGTACACTGTACACCCAGCCCACGTGGTTGTACAATGTTCACTATATAACCGGATCTTTTACGTTATACTTAATGAGTATAATCAATATATATATATATATATAAGAGGAACTTTTTAAGAGCATACAAAGCGCCACATAATCTTGCCATGTCATTATATATAACAATTATTTACTTATTTTTATACCTTTTGTTTTTATTAGATTTTATTTTTGATTGCATATTGATATGGAAACAAAAATCCTTATAAATCCACCTTAATTAATTTGGTAAGCAGTAAAATAATTTTTGGTTATCAAAGTGAAATTCTAATAACGTTTATTGATATGGAAACTAATTTATATTAGTTTACTAAAACAAATTAAATAGAAACAAATATGCAAATTAGTTTACTTATTAATTTGACACCTATTAATAAATTAGTAAGATTCAAATAAGTAAATAATTAAAAATGAAATTAAAAATTATAACCAACATAAAGTATATATATTTTCACAAGTAAATACGTTTAGCCTAGCCAAATAAGTAATTTTTTTGGTTGTTTCTTTATTTTACACCTAAAATTTAAATATGCTTTCACTTTTGAAATAGATTCCTAATCCAAATTAGAAAATCTTTATAGGTTTACGAATTCCTACTTTTATTTTAATAGAATTTTTTTAAATGGATTGATTTCAGTTCCAGATTAAATCAGATCAGATCAAACTTTAATAATTATAACAATAAGTCACAAAAAACAGACATCTAATAGACCATATTAATTCATACCAAATCAAACCCGAAATTTTAATTCAATTAAAAACGTTCTTATTAATGAGTAAACTGTAAGATCTAACAATTAAGAAATATAGATTTTTTTATTATTGGGTTCATAACAATTATGTTTACTTGAGATGCTTATGTAGAAGACCAATTTAACTTTTTTTTCATTTTTTTTCTTTGTTTCACAAATGGAATATACTTCACATATATTTTTCATGATTCAGGAGATTCCACTTATTTAACCAGAATTCAATCAATTTCAGCAAAATAAGTTAATTCTATTTACTTTAGTATTATCAAACAGACTCTATATGAGACTAAGTTTATTTTTCTTTTAAATCACATTATATGTGATCCGATAGAAATTAAATTTCAAATTAGCTAAATTACATACTGCCCGTGCATCGCACGAGCTTGAAAGCTAGTGTTTAAAATAAATGAAAAATGATATTAAATTACTATATTGGTAGCACAATTGAATTTTCAATGCATGCAATTGAGTATTATAATCCACATCTAATATACTACCCCCGTCCCGTTTTATGTGTCTTAGTTTGACTTGGTACGGTTATTAATGAAGTGGTTGAAAAAGTAAAAGTTGTGGTTGAAGTTTGAGTTTAATAAAGTGAAATGGTGTAGGCCACATATTTCTTTCCAAAAAAGGAAAGGAGACACTTATTTTGGGACAACCCAAAAAAGAAAGTAGAGCAGGTAAAATGGGACGGAGGGAGTATTTGTTACAAACTAACTTAGGGAGTGTTTGCAACTGCTTCTGCTTAAAAAAAAGCACTTTTGGAGAAGTAATGAAAAAGTGATTGGTAGTAAAAGTTGATAGTGTTTGAGAAAAAAGTGATTTTGAAAAGTAAAAGTTGGTAGTGTTTGGTAAAATAAGTGCTTTTTGTGTAATAGAAAAGGGAAAAGCACTTTTCACACGCAAGCCGAGAAAAAGTAAAAATTGGTAGTGTTTGGTAAATAAGTGCTTTTTAAAGCCAAAAGCTGAGAAGTGCTTTTTTTTAAGCAGTTGCAAACACTCCCTTAATCATGATGTACATTGCATTATCATCAAATTATTTATTGGACTCATTTTATTTTATAATTTAATTTAATAACGATATTTAGGGGGTGTTTGGATCTGATTCTCAAAACTGATTCTGCTCCTTCAGGGAGTAGAAGCAGAAGCTGGAGTGTTTGAGTGAAATTCCAGAAGCACTTCTGGAGCTCTAATTTACTCTCAGAATCAGTTTTTTTAGAAGCTGGGGTACCAGCTTCTGAAAACTGATTCTGATTCTACTTCTGCTTTTAAAAAAGAAGAGAAGCATAATCAGTTCCAAACACCCCTTTGTTCTTTGGCCTCAACGCCCCCGCCAAACCGCCAAGCCCCATGCTTTCGAAGAATTTCATCCTCACCTCGATTGAAAGGTATTGGAAAAGATGGCGTTGTTGTTCCTCCGATTGCCTACCGTTACCGCGTCCGCTTTGCGCATCGCCCAATTCAAAGGTGCGTTTTTTTCATTACAATCCTCACATCGCGTTTCTCTTCAGCTAGCTCTTCGGTTACATCTCGTCTCTGATTTAATAAGCTTTTAAATTGTTATTGGGATTCATTATGTTGTACTTGTTTGTTTATGCTTTGGAGGCGTAGAGCTAAGGTTGACATTGTGGGTTTCGAAGTTTGATACTTTCGTTAACTTAAACTTTCTTCACTGAAAAGAAAAATAAAACTTTTATCGAGGTTGGGCAGTAATTGTTGGTTTAAGTAATTATTATTTTCGGGCCTAACTTTCTGTTTTTCTCCCACTTTTATTTGGTTTTGGATCTATATCTTTTGATTGATACTAGGTTATTTGTGGGATTATTATTAGTTGACTATAATTATATAATAAATTTATCATACTAATGCCCATAATGGTAGTCGAGTTGGTCCGTAGTCAGAGTGGCCACAAATTGGTTGCATGGTTGAACCCTATTAGGGTTATCTAATGGCCTTCTTGGCTGTGTAGGTAACATAGGCTGGTTAGTGTCCTTGTGGTCCTCTACCAGTTAGGGTCACAAGATAGTGGGTTTTCAGTGCTCATCTTTTTTTTTTTGAACCACCAAAATCAGCGGAGCAAATGACTGGGAACCTGTAAAAGAAAAAATATAGGTGAAATTGCCACCAACAGTCCCTAATTCGAGCTATTTCAGAAAGTAACCTCTATTGAGGAAATTGAGAAATACAATCTTAAACCCTAACCACAGTCACAACTCACAATAATAGATGAAATGAGATGGTGTTTCTTCCCCCTGGTTAGAAAGTCCCTATTGTTTGTCAAACCAGGGGAGATTGGTAGAAACTGTTCAAGCCTCTGCTGCCTTATGAGGATGATGAGGAGCCTCCTGGTGACTCTCTTTCTGTCTTTGAGTATGCATACAACGTACTCTTTTCATTCAATTCCCCCTTTTCTCTCTGCTATTATTGCCATTTTTATTTATTAGTCTCCAGTTCCAACCGAAGGTGGGAGCCTTTGCGGCAGTGGGGTAATGATGATGATGAGTTTCTAGTTCTGATCTTTTTTCTCTTCGCTTCATATACAGCATTCCGTGGAATTTTCAACCAAAACCTTTTTCTGTTCTGCGCCCAGACTAGAAGCCCTCACATTTCATAATCTTGGGGTTTTGCTTTTCAAAAGTTCAAATCTTATATATTTTTGTTTTGTTTCAAGAACAAGATTCACTATTTTTTGGCTTGTGAATATGATGGAATAAAGCAAAATGACCCACTAAACTGTCTGCGCTTCTTTGTTATGAAGCAGCAGTCAGTCCAAGCAATTTTCGACGCCATTTCCACTATGGGTCATCCGGAAACAGTCTCTCTTTGCTTTAGTACAGGGGTAAGACCGCGTACATCCGACCCCCCCTTACTCCACCGTAGGTGGGAGCCTTTGCGGCACTGGGGTAATGATAATGATGATGAACAAGATAGTCCATTTGAACACCTGATCTCAATTAAATAAGAATTCCAGGCCGTGCATCTCTTGTTGATAGATGCATATGCAACCGTGGCTGTTGATTTCAACGAAAAATGGAAGACATTGAGGAAATATATTTCAAGATGTAGCAAAGTGGCTTCGGCTATATACTCCTTGATCCCGGCCGTGGTTTTCAATTGGGAAATTCGGGGGCTTAGGGTTTGCAGCTGGGGTATAATTGAAGAAGAGAAGATGAAGAGGAGGGAAGTTGGGTAATGAAGATTGGTGTTGGGTTTGCTGAGGAGTGGGAAGAAGATGCAGTATGGGTAAAATGTAACACTGATGCCGTCTCATTTAATATAATGTCTTGAATATGCAGTGGAGTTGAGATTATTTTAGTCTAGTTAATCATTTTTAAGAAAATGATTTCTCTTGTTTGCATTACTTCTGTGTCACATTATGTCCATCTGTCGCTCAGTTTCTTCTTATTCTGTTTGACAGATTATGCTGAGCTACATTGGCTCAGTTTCATTATGAAACATGAAGCTGGCATTCATTCTTTTCAGGACTGCTCAAGGCATCTGAGCAGTTCATCCGGCACAAAGAAAGTGGATTTTACAGATCTCACGTAAGGAATACTATTTATTCTCCCTTTCTAATGAACTGAGTAATATCCAGAATGCTTATATTTTCATTCATCTTGGAATCAGTCATCCGCACGCATGGTACCCACATGCACGAAGGAAAAGTCGAAATGTTGTTTTACATGTGGGTCCAACAAACAGTGGTAAAACACACTGTGCCCTCAAACAACTCCAGTCAAGTTCTTCTGGTATAAGTTTCGAATGCTATTATTGCTATAGTTTCACTCTGCTTCATTTACATGAGATAACCAGTTCAAACTAGTGGAGTAGGTATTTACTGCGGGCCGTTGAGGCTGTTGGCATGGGAGGTGGCAAAACGGTTGAACAAGGCAAACATTCCTTGTGATCTTATAACTGGACAAGAAAGGGAGGAAGTGGAGGGTGCAAAACATAAATCTGTAACAGTAGAAATGGCTGATGTGTCTTCTGACTATGGGTGTGCCGTTATTGATGAAATTCAGGCATGTAAATACCGTATTTTACTCATGAAAACTTGAAATTGTTTTTGCAGAAGTGTAGTTACTATATAAAATTATGAATAGCTTATGTGACCTACCGACCTCAGTTGTGCTATGGTGTAATTGATTTGATTCAAACATGTAATTTGTTTATTGTATATTTTTCTCACGAATGCTTAAAATTTTGTTTAAAACGACCAATGAGGTTTACCATAATGTTGTTAGAATAGAAATGGATTGTGAAAGCATGAAATTGTTGACTTAGAAAGACTAATAAAAAGCATTGTATCTTTCCTCTAATTATCTTTTAGGATGGGGCTTAGAGGACTTAGTCTATATCTTTATCAATAGAAATGTTTTCTTGAAAATGAATAAAAGGTGATTGAAATTTTATATGACCACCTATTATGTTGATCTTTCATCTTTATAAAATTTCACACACACACTAAGCCTTCCAAAGTCTTTGCCTCCAAAACCCTCCATCCAAACAAACCCGACCTGCCTTTCTTTGGGATCAATTGGGTCTTCGCATCCAAAACCCTCATATTTTTTAACTCCAACTCTGGGTGTTATGGCATCACCTAGTTGGTCTATTATGAGTTGAGCATTAGGAGCTTTCTTTTGTGCAGGTTTTTAAATTTACACATAAAAAAACCTTCCCTACACGTTGATTTATTAATGCGTCGTGTTTTTGGAGCTCAATGCAGTTTTTTTTGTTTTGTTTTTCTTTGACTTGGACTCTTTTCCCACTATATTGGGATGTGCATAGTTGTTCTTTGTAGTTTAGGTATCATGAATTCCTTTGGTTTTAAGTAGAGTGGAACTAAAATGAGACCCTTGACTGTATTAGAGCCCAAATAATTATCAGTGTGGTGTTGCTTATATTATATAGTCGTTTATGTAATTGGAAGACAAGTAATTATCAGTGTGGTGTTGCATATCAGCATATGTGTGTTTAAATGTGATAACAAATCAAAAGTTTAAAAATATATCATTTGTTAGAATAGATGAAACTCGAATATAACTTGAAATCGAACTCAACTCAAGTCAAGTTATATATTTTCAACTTGGCTGAAACTCGACTTGAATTCAAACTCGACTTTTCTTAATGAAAAACAGCTCAACTTAAGCCGAACTCGAGCTCGTCTCGCTTGATAGCACCCCTAGTGTAGCAGTGTGATGTTTCTTATAATATGTAGTCATTTATGTAATTGGACAAAAAGTTATATTAAATGCAAATGGATATTGACTTTCAGCATTTGTTATAATGAGTGATTACTAGCATTTTTGTTATGCATTTGACCTTTTTAAGTGCTGTTGAGTTGGCTTTGATATAATTGTTCGTGTGCATTTTTTTTATTTTGAGAAATTAGTTGCGTGTAACTATTAATTGTATTTTGTTATGCAGATGGTAGGGTGCAGTACAAGGGGTTTCTCATTTACACGTGCTTTATTAGGAATATCTGCAGATGAGCTGCACTTGTGTGGAGACCCTGCCGCTGTTCCTTTAATTGAGGAAATTCTTAAAGTGACTGGCGATAATGTGAAGGTGTGTAGAGTGTATTCATAGTTGGGGTCTATGTTTTAATCACTGAAGAAAGTATTTATAAATGATGAAAAAGATATGTGGACTTGGAAATGCTAATTTTGAATTTATGTTACCATCATTGGATGTAAAAGAATCACAAGCACTATTCATAGTATGAATTTCTTAAAAGGAATAATGATATCATACAAACTAACAAACCTAAATAGTTTGAGGTAGATAATGTTTTCAGAAGTGTTGAACAGGCAGTATTGGCCATCATCTCGGTAAGTGGGTAGGCCAGTCATTTTATTGCACTTCATTTACATGATTCATTATTGTCACAACTCACAAGATACAACTGTTCCTTATTCTCTCTAATAATATGCTGCCTAGGTTAAATACTATGAGAGGCTCTCGCCCCTTGTACCGTTGAAGGTTCCTTTGGGCCCATTTGCCAATATACGGACTGGAGACTGCATTGTCACCTTTTCACGCACTAAAATTTATAGGTTTAAGGTGAGAATGTCTATATGCCTTGCTGCAACCAACATTTTTTATTGTTCACCTAGGATGTACAGTTGTACACCAATTGGACAGTGTTAGGACATAAAGGGGACCTGTTGAATACATGCAATGTTTTCTTTTTACGTAATTGAGTTTAGTTTGCTCTCACGGTGTCTTTTGTTCATCAACTATATTGGTGTTGACAGAAACAAATTGAAAGAGGAGGAAAGCATCTTTGCTCTGTTGTTTACGGTTCATTGCCTCCCGAGACTCGGACCAGACAGGTGGAGTTTCTACCTCTTCTCTCTCTCTCTTCCCCTTGGAGGCCTTTTGGTAACACAAAAATTGGATGAATCTGTTGAATGTGTTGAAGTTGTGGGTGAAATGGCTGAATTTGCTAAATTTGAAATAATTATATCTAAACTATATTTATTGATAAAAAAAAATATGTAAAAAAAAGCTAAAATTTTCCTCTTGAGAGATTTCAGTGAAAGAAGTATCTCCAACCTTACTTATTTTGATTATCATCCAATTAAGTCAGCAACATAAAAACATTAGTGTGGTAAAAAATTGGCTGATAAGGCCAATAAGACAAAAAAAGGGTTGCGAAACTGGCACTCAATATTATTTATTTATTCCCCAAGTGTACAATTTACTTCTCTTGTTTTTTTCATTTGCACTATTTATTTATGTATCTCTAAAGGATCTGTTATAGCTAGTCTGTAAAAAATGTTCTTTATGGATGCAGGCAACGATGTTCAATGACACGAACAGTGTGTTTGATGTTCTGGTGGCAAGTGATGCTATTGGGATGGGTCTCAATCTTAACATATCTAGAATAATCTTTTCTACGTTAAAGAAATTTGATGGCGTAGACATACGTGATCTGTCAGTATCTGAGATAAAACAAATAGCAGGTTTTAATATTATTTTCCAGTAAATATTTATCAACAACTGCTTTAGTGAGATAGTTCAAAATCTTTTTAAAATGCTAATATACTGGAAAGATATGGTTGTAATGAATAAAGTTATTTGCAATTTGGATTGTGATGTCATTTTCGTGGTGTTTTACTGTGGCTTCCTAATTACTTCAACAGTTCATGAAGTATAATGACATGCTTTGTTCACATGCAAAGTAAGAGTTGACTATTTTGACTGGATATGCTTTGATTGCATTTCTTCAATGTCCTAAACTGGATATAGATGTACACGCATGCACACACATCGTACTCTTTTCCCACCTTATCACGGCTAGTTGGCTCTTAACGTATCAATCTGATTGTTTGAAATGAATAGTCCAATTTGTCCCATTTTAGTTGTCCTACTTTCCATTTTAGCATGTCCTAAAATAATGTCAGCTTTCCTAATTCAAGCACAACTAACTTTTTACTTGAGTTTATGATATCATTTGACACTGTTGGAAGTTGGAACTAGTTGAGGAATAATTTTGCACAGTGATTTAAATTTTATCAGTCTCCCTAAAAGAAAATGTGTCCTATAATAAGAGATGGGGCGAGTATTGATTGTGATGAGTGTAAGTAAATATATTATGGTTTGTTGTATTTTTTATTGCCTGTTTCTCATGAACTGTCAATTCTTAGACTCCAAAGATATCGTTTCATGTCATTTTGACATAAAATGTTAAGAAAAAAGCATCTCTATTTTGGTCCACTTATTGAAATGGAGCCAAAGGCTCATTATTTTTTAGCTTGGGAATATGATGGAATAAAGCAAAATGGCTCACTAAACTGTTTGTGCTTCTTTGTTATGAAGCAACCGTCAATCCATGTAATTTTTGACGTGATTTTCACTACGGATCATCCGGAAATAGTGTCATTGTACTTTAGCACAGGGGTAAGACTACGTACATCCGACCTCCCCCCCACCCCACCGTAGGTGGGAGCTTTTGTGGCACTGGGGTAATGATAATGATGATGAGATTTTTTAAACCATTTTAGGAAAAGAGACGATAAATAGGACGATACCTTTTGGAATGGTGGAGGGAGTATGCATGTCATATTTAATCACTATATCCCTTGCAGGAAGAGCAGGTAGGTATGGATCTGAATTTCCAATTGGTGAAGTGACTTGTCTAGATGCTGATGATCTACCCTTGCTTCATTCATCACTCGATTCCCCATCTCCTATCATTGAGGTATTGATAAACCTCTTTTGACAAATATTCAACTTTGTGATAGATAGTATGTGAACTATGGTAATAATACATGATAAAAACATGTTTTGTACTACAGAAAGCTGGTCTATTCCCAAACTTTGACCTTCTATATATGTATTCTCGTCTACACCCAAAGTATGGCCTATACAATATACTGGTAGGTTAAAATGTCACTCTGCTTTATGTATAATTCCAGTTCTGCCATGTTGCAACTCAATTATATATGTGATGTCTTTACAGGAGCACTTTGTAGATAATGCAAAGCTATCGGCAAACTATTTTATATCTGATTGTGATGTATTGTTGGTAGGTTCTTTTATCCTGCCATCACTCATAAATCTCTTTTTATATACTCTATTTTATCTGTTAGTTTTTATATGGTTTTTAAAAGAAAATTTGCAGGGGTACTAAATAGTAGGAGAAAGTAGGTGAAACAGTACAAATGTAAAAAAAACTGAGGGCATCGTATATATTTGGAGAGAGTGTATAAACACCCACACCCACATATATATGTCTACACACATATGATCAAATGAGAATGAATTTAGAGCGTCCGATTTGGAATGTGCATCACCATGAACTAAAAAAATGTTGTGTCATTTTTATAAATTGATTGAGCTTTCTTGCCACAAAGAACTGTGCATTATCTGGTGTGTACCACCACTAATAAGAATGTGCACCGTTTTTACGTTTTATAACATTCTCATTTCTCACCAGAACAACCATTCTCACCGGAACCGGATTGAGATCCTACATATATACATACATAGTTAGGTTTCTTCTTGAAATCCATTCTTGACTTTTGTTATGTTTTTCCATCGCAGAGAGTTGCTTCTATTATAGATGAGTTGCCACTTAGTTTGCACGATAAATATCTCTTTTGTATAAGGTAATTGCCTTAGTAGCCACTTCCACGAGAAATCATAATTCAATTTATTCCATTGCACTTTTGGGTAATTATTGATGAATTGTCTCTCTTGCATTACTCTTAGGGGCCTTTGTTGGAAAATAAATACTTTTGAGGAATAGTTGATAGGCATATGGTGCAGCAGCCTATTCAATATTTTAATAAAGTCTACAATACGAGAAATAAGAAGTCTGTTATTAGTTAACTAACTAGTTAGTTAGTTTCAGTTTATCCCTGCGTGGATAATAGCTATAAATAGAAGGGAGATAACTAAATAAGGAAGGCTGTTATTTCAGTTGGCTGTAGACTTGGAGATTGAGCATCTCGAATTGTCCCTAGCTTGTATTCCTACTTTGATTCCCTCCTACTCCAATAAACACATTTCGATCTGTTCTGAGCTTGATTTCTATAGAATTACTACTGTTCTACTTAGATTTCTACCAGTGTTCTATCATTGGTATCAGAGCAGTCGTTTCTGGTGACCGGAATTGTTGTCGCAGCACCAAGAATTTCTCGTTTCAGCCGTGAATGGTTAGAATGAGAGGGAAAATGGAGAATCGAGTGGATTCGCTGGAGCGAAATTATCTGGAGATGAAGACAACGATGGATAACATCGCAGCGACCATGCGGCGATGAACGAACAACTCCAAATCAGAGAAAGGTCGCGTACACATCAACTTCATACGCGATCATCAAACAGTCCGACAGCCTCCAGAGGTAATTCCGTTCATTCACACATCCATAATCATCGACGTAGTGATGAGAACATTAGAATTCCAATCCATACTGGTCGGAAGATAGATTTACCTCTGTTTAATGGCGATGAAGCATATAACTAGATTGTGAGAATGGAAAGGTATTTCCAATTGAATCATATTGAACTATTGAAGAAGAAGATAAAGTAGAAGCATCTGTGGTTGCTATGAAGGACAGAGCTTTAAATTGGTTTCAGTGGTTGGAAAACCAAACGGAGCAGAAGAATTAGGAAACACTAAAGGAATCTATTATTCGTAGGTTCCAACCTGATTTGATCCAGAATCCTTATGGACCTATGTTGAGTCTAAAACAAGTTGGAACAGTGAAGGAGTACAGAGATGAATTTGAAATGGTAATTGCACCTCAAAGGAATGTTAATAGGGGAATACTGAGAGGTTAAGACTGAGCTGAAATTGTACAACTCAAGGTCATTATCTGAAATAATGGACAGGGCCTTGCTTATTGAACACAGGAATGATGCTATCTACTTGAGGAACAAGGGAGAAGACAAATTATCTTGGAAGGAGAAGAGACCTGTAACTTCTAAATCTCAGGCATGGGGAGAAGGATTTAAATCCAAAACTGGCAACTCTTGGTCTAATAATACTGGGAAGAGCGCTGGAGAGAACAAGAGTAACCAATCTTGGTTTAATCCTGTGGGGAAGAAAGTGACAGAAATAAATCCATCTGGAATCGGAAGGGTGGGACCACAACTATCACAGGAAGAGTATCAAGATAGGATAAAAAAGGGCTTTGTTTCAAGTGTGGTGAGAAGTGGGATAGGCAACATACTTGCAAACTGAAAAATTATAAACTGATACTTGTAGAAGATCAGATGTGGACGAAGAATTAGAGGGAGCAGATGTGGTAATTCCAGATGAAGAGGAGATTCTCAGGGAATCTAAGTCCATACAACTCTCACTCATGAGTAAAGAGGGAATACCTTCTATGAGGGCTTTCAAGGTGAAAGGTTGTTTAAAATGGAATCTGGGAAAAGAAGTGGCAAATGTACTCATTGACAGTGGGGCTACCCATAATTTTGTATCTCAAAGGATGGTAGACCAACTGAAAATACCCTATAACACAATTTTCAGGGTATAAAGTTCAGATTGGTAATGGGGACAAACTGGCAATAATGGGAGATGTGAGGGAATGACTCTATGGTACATCCTGAAATTGGGTGGCACTGATTTGGTACTTGGGATGGAATGGTTGACCAGTCTAGGAGATGTAGAGGTCAATTTCCAAAAGCAGAGTATCAAGTGGAGAGAACAAGGGATGCTTCAAATGATTCAAGGGGATCCACACCTTAATTACCTTGAGGTTTCTTTGAAAACCATGACTCAGATTTTACAGGATGCTGGGATGGATATTTTGTTTATTGTGAAGAACATTCTGTGGAATTGAAGGCTGAGGGAGAAAAGGATGAATCCTGGAAACAAATTCTGGCAGAATTTTCAGAAGTTTCTCAACCCATGAGGAAGTTACCACCTAGTAGGGCTTGTGACCATGCCATCCACATCCAAGAAGGAGCTTGTATCCCAAATATAAGGCCTTACAGGTATCCTCAATATCAGAAGACAGAGATTGAAAGGATTATAAAGGAGATGTTAAGTGATGGTATAATTCAGCATAGCTCCTACAGTAGCCCTATATTACTTGCAAAGAAGAATGATGGGGGGTGGAGGTTTTGTGGAGATTATAAGGTCATAAACAAGATTACTATACCTTACAAATTCCCTATACCAATCATTGAGGAACTACTGGATGAACTAGGTGGGGCTATGATCTTCTCTAAATTGGATCTAAAATCTGGTTATCACCAGATCAGAATGGAAGAAGACAGGCAGAAAACAGCCTTCAGGACTCATGAAGGGCATTATGAATATTTGGTGATGCCTTTTGGCCTGACAAATTCCCCTTCCACTTTTCAGGCTCTTATGAATCAAGTTTTGAGGCCTTTTATAAGGAAGTTTGCTTTGGTTTTCTTTGATGACATTCTTATCTACAGCAAGTCAAAGAAAGAGCATCAGGAACATTTGAGGAGGGATCTATATGCTTTGAAAGAGAATCAGTTGGTTATTAATCTAAAAAAATGTTCTTTTGGACAATAACAGTTGATCTACTTGGGTCATATCATATCTGGTAATGGAGTTGCTGGAGATCCACCAAGATAGAGGTCATGGTTCTGTGGTGAGAACCCAATGATTTGAAAGGACTGAGAGGCTTTCTAGGATTAACCCGGTATTACAGAAGGTTTGTGAAAAGGTATAGCAAGATTGCTTTACCCCTGACACAACTTCTGATGGACAGTTTTCAATGGGGACCATCTGCTACCGGTGCTTTTGAGGAGTTGAAAAGAATTATGACCACTCTATCAGTTCTGGCAGCCCCACACTTCAACAAAGCGTTCATAGTAGAGACTGATGCTTCTGGAACAGGTCTTGGAGATGTTTTGATGCAAAAGGGGAGACCCATTGCATATATTAGCAAGGAGTTATATAAGAGGAATCAGAACAAGTCAGTATATGAGAGGGAATTAATGGCTATTGTACTAGCAGTCCAAAAATGGAGATTTTTGACGTTCACACTGATCAAAAGAGCTTAAGATTTTTGACTGAGCAAAGATTGATGGGGGAGGAACAACAAAAATGGACTTCCAAACTACTTCCAAACTATTGGGGTATAATTTTACTATAAAATATAAACCAAGGGTGGAAAATAGAGTTGCAGACTCCTTATCCAGAAGATCATTCCTAAATTCTTTATCCATTGTCACTTGCCAAGAGTGGGAAGGATTGAAAGAAGAGTTGATTGCAGATCCTAAATGCCAGACATTAATTCAGAATATCATTTCCCAACTAGACAAATACTCTGAATTTCAGATTACTAAGGGGTTACTATACTACAAGATGAGACTGGTGTTACCAAGAGAATCCCCTAGAGTTATCAAAATATTGAATAGTATCATGATTTTGCAATAGGGGTCATTCAGGTTATTTCAGGACCATGAAAAGGATTTCTAATTTGTTTTATTGGCATGGTATGAGAAGGGATATAAAGAAGTATGTTATTGGGTGTGCTACTTGCCAAACAAACAAATACCAAACACTTAAGCCAGCCGGATTACTACATCCACTGCCTATTCCTCGTAATATATGGACTGATATTAGCATGGATTTTATTGGGGGTTTGCCTTAATCACAGGGAAAGGAGTAGTACTATCCTGGTCATAGTGGATAGATTGACCAAGTCTGCTTACTTTTTTGTTCTTTCTCACCCATTTAATGCCAAAGTAGTGGAAGAATTATTCATAAGGGAAGTGGTAAAGTTACATGGTTTCCCTAAAACTATTGTAAGTGACAGAGATAGTATTTTTCTGAGTACTTTTTGGTGAACTTTTCAAGATGGCTGGAACTCAACTCAAATACAGCACTGCATACCATCCTCAGACTGATGGTCAAACTGTGGTAGGGCCAGACTGTGGTAGTCAACAGGTGCCTAGAAACTTATTTGAGGTGCCTTACAAGGAGAAATCCCAGACAGTGGGTTAAATGGTTGGCTTGGGCTGAATTTTGGTATAATACCAACTACCATACATCATTGAAAGTGACACCCTACAAAGCTCTATATGGTCAGGATCCACCTACTGTGATTAGAGGGGATGCTAATCTTACAGCTGTGGAAGAAGTCTCTCAACTGACTGCTCAGAGAAATCTGATGATTAAGGAATTGAAAGATAATTTGGAAAGAGCTCAAAATCAGATGAAACTGCAAGAAAACCAGCATAGGAGAGAAGTATTGTTGGAAATTGGAGACAAGGTCCATCTGAAGATTCAACCCTACAAGCTAAAAAGCTTAGCAAAGAGACTAAATCAGAAACTAAGCCCCAGATACTATGGTCCCTTTGAGGTTATTGGAAAAATAAGCTCAGTAGCTTAAAAGCTCAAGTTACCAGAGGATAGCAAAGTACACCCAGTATTCCATATTTCACTATTGAAGAAAGTCATATCACCTACAACTGTTTACCAGGCCCTACCCAAATGTCTCAGTGAAGAATGGGAGTTACTGAAGAAGTTTTGGACTCCAGGATTAACAAAGAAGGGAAGATAGAAGTGCTAGTACACTAGAAGGATTTACCAGAGTTTGAGGGCTCATGGAAATCATTGCAGTCATTGACAGAACAGTTTCCAGACCTTCACCTTGAGGACAAGGTGAATTTTCAGGGGGGAGTATTGATAGGCATATGGTGCAGTAGCCTATTCAATATTTTAATAAAGTCTACAATAGGAGAAATAAGAAGTCTGTTACTAGTTAACTAACTAGTTAGTTAGTTTCAGTTTATCCCTGCGTGGATAATAGCTATAAATAGAAGGGAGATAGCTAAATAAGGCAGGCTGTTATTTCAGTTGGCTGTAGACTTGGAGATTGGGCATCTTGAATTGTCCCTAGCTTGTATTCCTATTTTGATTTCCTCCTACTTCAGTAATCACATTTTGATCTGTTCTGAGCTTGATTTCTATAGAATTACTACTGTTCTACTTAGATTTCTACCAGTGTTCTATCAATAGTATTTGATGAGAACATTTTCTATGGGTTGGTTTCTATTTTGACAAAAGAAAGTAAATGATTAAATGTAATATATTTCTCCAGTAGGAATGAGACTCCACACAAGGGCGGAGAGTAATTCCATGGAAAGTACTTTTCATGAAAAGCACCAAATGTCCCCTTAGACCATTTGTAGTGGAGAGGTATTAGGAGTCCAAAATGTTAAATATGGAAGTTTTGGACTCCTAAATGTGTATAGTGGGGATTAAAAACGAGGTTAAAAGTGGGAAAGTGGGTGGAGGGGTTTAAATATAGAGGGGGGATTGACATGAGAAAACAAAAGGAAAAAGAAAGAAAACGGAAGGCTGCGGCCTGCGGGAAGCGGTGGAGCGGGTGACGTCACGATGACATCATCCATCCATAAAAAATTCCATATTTTTTAAAGTCTTGTAACTTTTTTATTTTTGCTCCAAATCTTTCAAAATATATATAAAAATTCATAAAAATTTATGATCTTTCATATGACACCAATATCACATATATAAAGTTAAAAAAATATATGAAGTTTTTAATTGCTAGAGTTTTTTTCGAGCACTAAAAACACGAAACACAAATTCTTAATCCATGGTGTATCCATAAATAACTTAACTTTACATGAACTCATTTAATTTGTTATTAAAACTGAAAAGGTAAAAAAATAACAAATATTTTATTGTTTAACATCGAAATATGTATTTTTCTAATTTCATGATTATTCATAAAAAAACAAGAAAAAAACATTACTTATATTTATTTATTTATTTAATGTTTTAATAAACCTTTTTCCATCATTTGCAATGGAGCCAAAGATTCATTATTTTTTTGCTTGAGAATATGATGGAATAAAGCAAAATGGCTCACTAAACTGTTTGCGCTTCTTTGTTATGAAGCAGCAGTCAGTCCGTGCAATTTTGGACGCGATTTTCACTATGGGTCATTCGGAAACAGTCTCTCTGTGCTTTAGTACAGGGGTAAGATTGCGTACATCCGACCCCCCTTACCCCACTATAGGTGGGAGCCTTTGCGGCACTGGGGTAAATGAAAATGATGATGAATGTTTTAATAAACCTATTATGTAAAAAAATATGTCGAGTGTATTTCATTGACGGTGCTGGAATGCAAAGAAAAATGGTATTGATGGAGTTTAAACATTGTTTTCATATCGACGGAGTCCATATTTAAGTTCTTAGACGGCGCAGGGATGTGGATGGTCTCAGTATACACCTTCCATATGACTGACTCGTGCCAATTATTGATAGGAATAAATAAGTAATGGGCCTATTCAATAAGTAATTAGCGGGCCTATTCATTAAAGAGTATAATAGAAAGAACTAGAAGTCTAGTATTACTTATTAGTTAAGTAACTAGTTAATAGTTCCTTTTATCCCTGCGTGGATAGGGACTATAAATAGAAGAGGAGTCAACTAAAATAGGCAGGCAAGTATTTGGTTGGATTTGGATTGGCTAGGAGATTGGGCATCTCGAATCGTCCCTTGCTCTGTATACGCTGGTTCTCTATTCAATAAACACCTTCGATCAGTTCTTAATCAAATTCTCCTTGATTTGCTATATTTCACTCTGAATTACTGCCAGTGTCCTATCAATGGTATCAGAGCATTGTTTCCGGATGAGAGCCAAAATGGAACAGAGGATTGAAGCAGTTGAACTCGGTCAGGTAGCGATGAAAGAAAGGTTGCTGCGATTGGAAGCTAAGATGGGAACGATGATGGAACGATTGACAGGGAGGATGGAAGCTATGAGAGAGCGAGGGGAATCACGATCTCATCTTCATCATCAATCGCGAACCTCTACTCACTCGCAGCCGCGAACAGTATCTACCAGTTCGCAGGTCGCAGTTCGCAGAGCTCAACGTGCGACTTATTCCACTTCGCAGTTGGTATCCCAAACGACTTCTCCCAGTTTGCACTCGCAAACCGCTCGCCATGGATCGCAACTTTCATCTCAGGTTTTGTCGCATAATTCCGCTTATCACGGTTCGCAAGTATCATCACTATCTACCTCGCTGAGTTTGCAGGGCTCACAAATAGCCACTATCAGTTCACAGACAACATCCAACCAAAATGAGTTATCCATGAACCTCGGATATGTCCGAGCCGGAAAAAAAACAGACCTATCTCTACGCAATCCCAAGGACGCTTGTGGGGGAACATCTCAGTCAACGCCTGTGTCTGCTGGTATCTCTGGCGGCTTTAGCAAAACTGGAGAAAATGAAGAGTATGTGGTGGCTGAAGTTCCGCAGGATCCTACACGAGTTATTGGCTCTCTGAAAGGGAGAGGAAAGTACATAGATGAAGACAAGAGGGGATGGAAAGGTAAAGGAGATAGGGACACAGAAGTGAAGACGGTTGCAGCATCAGTTACAGAATCAGACCCTGAAGAGGATGTTAATCAACCTAAGGGATTTTCATCAAACCGGGAAGGTTTCGGTGTGCGTAAATCAGATAGCCTTACCTATCATGATATGAGGTATTCTAGTGCACTGGACTTGAACACAGAAGATCTTAAATCCTTCATTTATATAGTTCATGGACTTGGATTGGAGGTTTTAATGGATATGATGTACTGCCATTCATCACATATTACTGGGAAAACACTGAACAATTTCAATAGTTTCAGAATTGATGGCTTTACTTCGATGATGTATAATAAAAATAGCTTGAGGGGAGGGATTACTAGGAAATTTAAGGAGTATGTTGGAAATGTTACTGAAGTTGAGGCTGATGTGAATCTGATCCTTGTCAAGGATCTCAATATTAGTCTCTTCCCATATGCCATTACCTCTGGAGAAGAAGTTAGGGGGCTGCATGCAGTTTGTCTATCGGTTCAAGAGGGAACTGTAGGTTTTCCCTACCCATCTCAGATGACTTTGGCTTGTAAAGGGATCCAGGTACTCCATAAAAGAGATATGAAGGGGAAAAGGGGTGACAATGCTCACAAACTTGCCAATAGCAAATGGAGAAAGAATAGTGTTGCTTATTTTGAAGGTCAGGGCCAAGATTTTGTGAGTGCAGGTGTTGTTGTAGTCTTGAGTGCCTTGGAAAGGAATTTGTGGAAGGATGATCAACAGAATATTGCATTTGACGAATCAGTTTACTTTAATGCTACAGAAGGACGAATGACACAGGGATGGATGAAGAGTGAAAAGCATGGTTGCTTTGTTCGGGTCTACAATGGAACGCAAGGTTTGGTTCCACCGTCTGAGTTTGGGGTAGACCCTAGCTCTAAAACAAACTCAGGGTATCATGTTGAGCAGGTGTTTAAGTGCAGAGAGGTTAGTCCTAACCCCACAGCAAGACTAATCAACCTCAGTTTTACAACAAAACAGATGAAGTTGTCTGAGATATTGGTTAAATCGGGAAATGTCATTTCTGGGACCATTAATCTAGTTACTCCTGATGCTCCAAATGGTTTTAAAGGAATGACTCTTCCAGAACATTTATATGATCATAGTAATCTTGCTGGGTTAAAGAAGTCTATCTTGAAACCTGGCTTTGCAAGTTACCAGTTGTTAGTTTTTGATGTTGAAGGTTGCAAATTGGTACCTTCTACCACAACCTCAGTTAATAATGAAAGTGTTCGACTGACAGTGCCATTGCAGCAGTCATTATGCTATTTACCTGATGTTTCAATTTGGCCAGAAAGCATTCTATCACAAAACAAGATTGACAAGCGTCTAATCTGGGGCTCCTCAGATTCTGGATTGAACTGGGCTGAAGAGTTTGATTTTGAATATCATATGGGTGAACTCAATATGGAATTGGATTCTACTTTTCAGGCGGTTGTGATTGTTATTTTCCAGGTAAGATACCTTGGGGATCTATCTATAAAACAAGGAAGTGGGAAGGGAATCACAGCTGCAAGAGCCGGGTGGGGTATACTAAACATTCAGAGTGAAACTATTCAACAAACACTCGGGAACCATAGCTCTCTTCATTGGCAATCTAAACAGGAGGATGGGAATGACCCAACAGTGTCATTGCATCTGCTCATTCACGTCGTGCTAGAGGTCAAGAGCATGGCCCAAGTGTTGAAGCTAAAGATCCAGAACGCAATGTGGTACTGGGAAGGGAGAGGCGCTCGAATGAAGATAAAGTTGATAGTCCAGGCTGACTCCTATCACCCACCTTGAGGACAAGGTGGTTGTTTAGGGGGGGAGTATTGATAGGAATAAATAAGTAATGGGCCTATTCAATAAGTAATTAGCGGGCCTATTCATTAAAGAGTATAATAGAAAGAACTAGAAGTCTAGTATTACTTATTAGTTAAGTAACTAGTTAATAGTTCCTTTTATCCCTGCGTGGATAGGGACTATAAATAGAAGAGGAGTCAACTAAAATAGGCAGGCAAGTATTTGGTTGGATTTGGATTGGCTAGGAGATTGGGCATCTCGAATCGTCCCTTGCTCTGTATACGCTGGTTCTCTATTCAATAAACACCTTCGATCAGTTCTTAATCAAATTCTCCTTGATTTGCTATATTTCACTCTGAATTACTGCCAGTGTCCTATCAATTATTGACGAATTTGTATTTATTGTCTTGCAGCCCAGTGGACGTCAATGATGATATATCATCCCAGGGCCTTACCCAAGTAAGATCTGTTGATATATAATTGATTATTAACACCAAATATATACATAGGAAACAAAACGTCGAGGGAACAGGAATGGTTGACGTGTGTGTAAATTTAGAATAGTCCATTGGGAAATGTGAAATGGAAAATGCGAAATGAGGGAAACAGGATTTCTAAAAAACATAGGATACGAAATGTGGGAGAACCTATAAATATTAAAAAAAATAAAACATAAGGACATATTTGTAAAAAAAATTCGTATGTGTACATTTTTTCATTTATGCCCATATTTTTTTCATATAACTCTGTTTCTTAACCAATAATCAATACATTCTACATCTTCAAATTTATAAGTTGTTACATATTACTACCTATGTCCCCCTAAGATTGGGTCAAATGAGAGGTGTGGTTTTTAAGAAAAGTAAAGTTATGTGGTTGATAATAAATTGATAAAGTGAGAATAAAGTTAGAATGAATTAAAGCCACACAAATATTACCAAATATGGTATGAGACAAATTTAGTGAGATGGACGGAAATGGAAAAATGACACAATTATAGTGGGACGGAGGGAGTAATAAAATAGATGATTAAACATAAAATGCTATGTATTTCTGGCAATGCATTGCATTAAGAAATATTATAATGTTTGCCAGGAAAATATCTCATAAAAGGTTTCAAAAAGGAACTGTTTTCCATTAAGTAATTCCATCAAAAAGAAAAAAATTGGAAACCCAAAAGTTTTTGAAATGGTAATCATTTAGGGAAACAGGTTTCCCAAATCATCTTAATTATGGAAACGGCTCTGAAATGGGAATTTGACGTTTTCGACTTTCCTGGATGCTTCTGAGTTTTTGAGACGGGGAAATGTGAGTCGCGGGGAGTTCCAGTGCTTCATACTATCATATATTATTATTTCGTAAATATTTATTTCATTTTTGTGCAAAACAATGTGTGCCAGAAAAGATTACTAACCACATGTAACCATCTTTTGGAGTGGTCAGTTTGCAACAAATTATGCAAAGAAGGGCATTGTTAGACTCCGGGAAATATTTACTCCTGGGACGCTTCAGGTGCCTAAGACACAGGGTGCACTTAAAGAGCTGGAATCAATTCACAAGGTTAGAATTAATCAATACTACTATTTTGGGAAGTGCAGAAGATGACCCTAATCCTTTCCGAGGTATTTAAAAAAAATACCCTAAATAGGTATACAATGTGTAGACACATATACATAATACATTACACGCATACACACACATGCATTCGCAAGCACATACATGTATATGTATATAAAATATTTGGTTCGATTAATTTTGAAAAGTAAGAACTATTTTTTAACATTTGTGGGAAAAATTTAAAGATCAGATCAATATTTAAGACTAAAACGCGGTAGTATTACTGTAAATTTGAACTTTTTATTAATATATGCTAATAAAAGTGAAACAATGTATACAAAATTTGCATTGAACATTCTACAAGTGCGTTACCATACAAAATAAAATGCATATAACATTGAGAATTGATATAAAAAAAACACTTGTCAAGCACTTCTTTGTACGCTTGAAATACTCTATATCATAAAACGTTGCATATTAAAATTTGAAATATTTACAATATTATGACCGCATTTTTGATGAATAATTGATCTCATCCATTCATTTTATGCATTGAAAAGTCTATATATTATTCTTTTTTCATGGGAAATCTTCTTTTCATTGGAACTCAATCTCTACGTATATGTATGTGTATATATAGACACACACTAGATGCATAATTCTTTTTTCTCACTTGAATCGGAATCAGATGCTAACTCAACTTCTTAATTGTTGAAGGTTTTGGATCTCTATGTTTGGTTAAGTTTTCGGCTGGAAGAGAGCTTTCCAGACCGTGAGCTGGCTGCATCACAGAAGGCTATATGCAGCTTGTAAGTAGAAGCCAGAGGCTTTTTAGTAGTACTACTATTTTTTTTTGATATTATTACTACCATTTGTAAACCTGATAAATCCAGTTATGAAGGGATGGAATAACCTTCTGCTTCCTTCCCCTTCGCCGCCCTCCAAAATTGATATTTTACATATTGTTCTATAATGTAATTCAATAGTCCTATAGAACGGAATATAATACCTCGTTTTCCTGATCACTTCAATTTTCCTTCGGTATCTTTTGAACCAAACAAGAGATTTGTGCTCAGAAGCCTTCCTTGCCCTTCCCAGTCTTCAACTGTTTCTCAGGCTCTTTTACGTCCATCATAGCTGTGGAATTAGATTACTTGTTGTTTACTGTTTTGCTCCGCTTGTTAGGTTGATTGAGGATTTCTTGGAAGGGCTGGGGTGGCAGAAACCAGGGTCATGAAATCTGCCTCCAGAAACCAAGGTCGACATATTCCCTGCGTGCTGATAAAGGATTCTCTTTCCTTTTCTGCCGATCCAAAATCAGGTTTCTTTTGTATTCATTTTAAGAAAAGAAAATGTTCATATTAGTTCTCTCTACTCTCTATATATAATTCTTAACACTGCAATTTCAATGTTCTTAATCAGAGTGTCAAGGCAAATTGGAACCTTTTTATGGGAGGACAGGAGTAAGAACTTGGCCTTTTGGATTCACAGTTTGCCTGACCAAGCCAATTTTGTAGATTCACAGTTCTTTTATAGATTTTGGATGAATTCCAGGGGACTATCATTCCTATCTGTCCGATTTCCTCATGTCTAAAAAAAGATCAAATTGTAAATTAAATTTTTGTATGTACAAAGCTGAAATGTGAATTAGACGGCCGTTGTATAATTAGACTTTGGGGCCATTGGTGATGTACTTTAGTATGCGACGCTTAATCATAAACATCATAATTACAAGGGATAAGGGTCAGTTTGGTCCTCGAAGTTGCAAAAAAGGGTCAAATAAGTCCTTATATAGAAAATTCTGTCCGGACGTGCCATTTGAGGTGGCTCCCGATGGTATTTTTTTATTAAATTTTTTGAGCATCTTATTCATTAAGTCTAGTTTACTCATACCAAATTTCAGATAAAAATTCAATCGGAAGACATTCAAATGAATTCTTGAAGATAACTGTGTCGTTAAAAGCGCAGTTATATTCAAGAATTCATTTGAATGTCTCTCCGATTGAATTTTTAACTGAAATTTGGTATGAGTAAACTAGACTTAATGAATAAGATGCTCAAAAAATTTCATCAAAAAATTCTACCGGGAGCCACCTCAAATGGCACGTCCGGACAGAATCTTCTATATAAGGACTTATTTGACCCCTTTTTTGCAACTTCGAGGACCAAACTGACCCTTTACTCATAATTACAAACGGTCTAGCCCAGCTGGTCGCCGACTCACTCTCCCTTATGGGAGGTCCCGGGTTCAATTCTCAATGGAGTGAAATTGATCCCAGTTTTCCCCAGGCCCCCCAAACCCCCTCCCCTTGATGCCCCATGGGGTAAAAAATAAATAAATAAAAAAACAAAAAAAAACATTATAATTACAAGCTTCACTAGGACAGTTGGAGTTTATCTTAATATATACTTCCTCCGACCTCATTTATTTAGCAAATGTTGACGGGCAGAGACTGTTTGCAACTGCTTTTGCTTAAAAAAACACTTTTGGAAGTGATTTTGGAAAAAGTGATTAGTAGTAGAAGTTGATAGCGTTTGAGAAAAAAGTGATTTTGAAAAGTAAAAGTTGGTAGTGTTTGGTAAAATAAGTTATTTTTGTGTAATAGAAAAAGAAAACATTTTTCATACGAAAGCCGAGAAATATTTTTTTAAGTAGAAGTTATCATTTGAAATCACTCTTTAATGAAAAGGAGAATATATAGTTGACCGGAAAAATTTGCCCTTCAAGTAAAATGACGGAATTGAGACACCCGAAAGAAAGTACATGCCATTTGGAGTAAAATTAAAGGCAACCAAACACATAGAGAACACAAACCAGAGGGGAACGAAATACAAAGGCATTAAATTAACACAAGCAGGAAGAACCCAATGAATAAAACAAAACAAAAATCAGAGCACAAAGAGACCTTTAATTGAAATACAAAGGGAGAAGGGCCAAAATGGACACTAAGGTTTTTAATGAAGATCATATATGACATTCAGGTTTTAAGTGGACCAATCAGACACAATTATAACCTTATACCTTAATTTCTACCCACCCACTAACTCCCCTGTCAAACGGCCGTCACCCCCTTTCTCCTGCGCTAAAACATCGAACAAAAGCCTCCCCTGTGCTACAAACTCACCGGCCCCAATAAATACAACCCACTCCCATAAATGCATCGAACAACCCCAATTCATTTTGACCTACCTATTAAAGGGCGTTGATTCAGTCCATTTACGCAGAAGGAGGAAAAAGAATAACAATGGGTGAGAGTTCGTCAGCATCAAGGATGTTAGAGAAGAAGAAATCCAACTCTGTAGAATCAGTGAAGTGTCGTGGGAGTATGGAGCGACAAATTTCTGGATGGACGAGGTATTGTAAATGTAGACACGCAAATGGAAGCCCTGTAAAAGCGCCACTTTGGACATCTTGGACGGACAACAATCCCGGAAGAAGGTTCTATGGTTGTCCCTATTATGAAGTAAGCCTCAAGTTTAAATTTTGATTTTTGTGTGATTTACAACATTTGATTTATATACATTGTGGTGGTGTATGCAGAATAATGGTTGCGGGTTCTTTGAGTGGCATGATGAGCCTTTAACAGATAGGGTGAAAGATGTTATCAATGACTTAAAAAGGGAGAATAGAAGGCTACACACTACAATTAGGGGGCTGGAGGAGGTCATCCGTGCAGGGGGGAGTTTTGATGAAGCACTAGTACTGGCATGTGTAGATACCTGCAATGAAAACATGGAGAGTGAAGTTGAATGTGTGGATCAGTTAAAAGTGGAGAGGGGAGCATATGTAAATAGACATTCTGTGTGTGTAGTGTTCTTTTGTGCCCTTGGTGTTGTATTATGTAGGATGTTTTGGTAGTTGTTGTTCAATGTTTGTAATACCAGAATGACATTGGTATGATTGTAATGTTAACCTTTGTTATGATTGAAGTGTTTGGCAGTTAAAAAGTTTGTATGATTCTATTCACTATTATAGAATCTGGATTACAGCATTTGAAGCATAATGACTTTGAATTCCTGAAGTTTAAACCAAATCAGTTAGAACAAAATACTTACAACTATGAAGAAGATGCACTTTACTGAGTTTGAGCTTTGAAACAAAAACTGAAAACTGGTAACTTTGAACCTGTTTACTTTGAAGTTTGAAGTGATATTGAACCTATGGTTCAAGTTTATTCAGTTTGAACTAATAAACTTGAACCTATTTACTATGAATCCATTCCACAAAACTGATAATAAGTGATCATCATTAAATAGGAATAAGGAAATCATAATACATTACATAGTTTAACATTCCAAAAAGGGAGAAGGCCCAAAAATAACAGTAACATGATCCTGATATAACAAAGATCAACTGATCAAAATTTTTGGCTCTTCTCCCTTCCAAAAAAGCATATGACTTGGTCATGTTGACACAAGTACAATAGTTGACAGTAACATGGTAATGTACAACCCCTAACTTAATGTTGCCACCTACTACTATAGCAAAAAAACAGGCCAGCATTTATATGTTCCAAAAAATGATTAATTACAAAACATCTCCTTCTTTGCATCTTTAATAAATATCATGTAGTCTGGGAAGATGAACCCTTCTTCTTCTGCAACTTCTTTAACAAATGGCGTGCGGTGACAGCTTTCTTCCCATTCCATTGCAAACCGGGTGGCTGAAAGGGCAAGTTGGTTGGATTTATAACATTGGCTCCATCACCCTTGAAAGAAATGGTCCTATATGCTGGGACATCAACCTGCTTATCAACAACCCTGCCTGTAGCTCGAATTTCCCTCTCATTTGGAATAACAAATCTCACACTAACATCAGGGTCATGTCCGAGTGGAGGCTGCATTTGACAAACTACTTGCTCACTAGTCATCCCGGGCTGCATTCATTATTGATGAAATGAATATCAAGGTAAATAAACAAAAATTACAACAACAACAACCAATACTCTTTATGAGGATATTAAACTCACATTTACAATCTTTGCACCAGTGTTTACATCAACATAGCATCCAAAACCTGTGACTGGTTGGTTACCTTTTGAGCTGCCTGTTCTTCTACATGGAAGTTTAGACTTACTCCTATCAATATTTTCCCTTTCACTTGCAGGTGGGTTCATTTCTGTAGTGTTGGTAATTTGAGAGAAAGCCACACTTGCAGGCCTCTTCACACTTGCAGGTCTACCAAGATCTGTTGCTTCATTACTTGCCTGAAGCAATATAATACCATATTACTTATAATCAGTGTTCTAAAAGGCCTCAAAAGGCGCCGCAAAGGCGGGCCTAAGCGTGAGGCGCGGGCCAAACGCCTCGCCTACCCACAAGGCGCGGATAAAGGCGGATCAAGCCCATCTCATGATCCATTTACCGCTGGAGGCGATTTATTCATTGAGGAAGGGAGATAAGAAATACTTTGTATATAGAGTTTGGGAAGAGTGGAGCGCCTCTATCCCTCCGGTGTGGGATTGTGGAATTGGAAAGCTGAAGCCTGAAAAGAAAATCTATACTCCTGTACTCCGCATTTTGTATTGCTAAAAAATCAAGTTCTAAGAGGGATTCGAACATGGGTGGGGCTTGGGACTAATGAAATCATCTAACCAACTGATCTGCAACTTCATTGTGTCTAATTTCACATTTAATTTAATTATACCTTATACGAAATATGCTAAACAAGTCAAGCATATCTTACTTTCTATTCCTATTATTATTATTATATTACTCGTATCTTTATTATGATTATTATTATTATTATCACTGTTAGTACTATTGTTGGAATTCTGTATACTTTCTATTATTATTATTATTATTATTATTATTATTATTATTATTATTATTATTATTATTATTATTATTATTATTATTATTATTATTATTATTATTATTATTATTATTATTATTATTATTATTATTATTATTATTATTATTATTATTATTATTATTATTATTATTATTATTATTATTATTATTATTATACTTTCTGTTAGTATTTTTTTAAAGGACACTATTAGTATTATTGTTGTTGAAATTAATGTTGTTATTATTACTCCATTGTTATACTTGTTGTTGTTGTTGTTGTATTTAATTGTTATCATTATCAACGTTCTCACCATTGTCATTAATTGGACTATTTTTTCAGCTCTAGTTTTGTGTGATTCGTAAATTTGTACTCCGTATTTGTTAGACGTAGGATTCAAAGAATCTTTTTTTGTTGAGAATGCGAAAAATATGATGTTTTTGAATAATATTATTTAATATTTAATTAAAATATTTAAAATAAATGATAAAAAATCAAAACGCCTTTTCACGCCTCATCCCCGCCTAAGCCCGCCTAGGCTCCAAAGGCTTAAGGCTTGGACGTGCCGCCTCGGCACGCCTTACGCCTTTTAGAACATTGCTTATAATACCATATTACTTACCCAAATACATCTTCACCAAACAAATAATATATATAACAGTCTTCATATGAAGTATACCACAAATACTACAAGTAAAAATAATATGTCAGTCCACTTACATCACTTCTATAAAAGTGAAATTAGTCCACAAACGCATTGTAGTGTCAGCTAATTTAAACTTCTTATATATAAAAAACACTAGATATATCAGTCCACTATATTAGACCAATTATAAAACTTATATAAGTTCACTAATATAACTAGGGATCCCATATAACTACTATAAAAGTTATATCAATACACTGATATAACTTATATAAAACTGAAATCAGTCCACTAATATAAGTTGTATAAAACTGAAATCTGACCAAAGCAAAATATATTAGACCTGAAGCTTGAAAGATCTCTTATATCAGTCCATATATTAACAACTTTAAAACTTACAGCACTATCTTTATTAGGACATTTAGATCTCTTATGTCCCTCCAAATGACAGATGCCACATGTTTGAACTTGTCCTTTTCTTGAAGCTCTGTGAGATGAAGTACTATCACCTGCCACAACTTTGGAACTACTTGCAGTTGCTTTGCCCTCATTTAACCCTCTTACTCTGTTCTTCTTTGGTCTTCCAGGTAAGTTGGGAACTGGGGGAGGTAGAATTGGTTCATAGTCATCCACTTTCATGAAAGCCTTTCCAGGAACAGGTTGCATTGGGTACTGATAAGCTGCCATGTATGTGTCCTTATGGTACCACCTAGATATGTATGATATGGCATCTACCTTCTTATAGTACAAAGCACATAAGGCATGTAAGCAAGGAATGCTAGTCAATTCCCATGCTCTGCAAGTGCACCTCATTTGGTCTAACACAACAGTGTGTTTATCATCCCCTTCTCCAATTTCAAACCCAACATCTCCATTGAAGATTATATTGCACCCTGTAGCTGCCTCTTTATTACCTTGATAGTACTCCATGCATGAGGGTGACCACTGATTAATCCACTTTTCATGACTGCCTTTAAAATCACAAAGCCTTTTCATAGCCTTCAAACGAATATCTTCAAGCATGTTAACAATTGGTTTTGCCCTAGCTTCTCTAATCCATGCATTAAATGACTCAGTTATGTTGTTATCTACCATCCAACATTTGCTGTGGCTACTAAAGTATGCCCTACACCATGTCTGAATTGGGTATTTCAAAACATCAGATGCAGCTTCAGCACTTAGTTTTCCTAGCCTTTTCAAGTTCATCTGCAGCTCCTCTTCATATGTGCTCCATGCACAAATCCAGAATCTTTTGCAGAACTGGTCACCTCTCCACTTCTTAGACCAATTAGCATAAACATGGCGAGCACAATACCTATGTTCTGCCTCAGGTATCACATCTTGAGCTGCAATTATTAACCCCTTTTGCATATCAGATATTAGAGTTAAATCAGCACCAGTCTTCAGATCAAGTTCCTGAACTAGCCAAGTTAGAAACCACCTCCAGTTGGACTTGTTCTCTTTGTCAGTTACAGCCCATGCTATAGGAACCATTTGTCCTTCCCCATCCACCCCTACTGCACTCAGCAATATCTCCTTACACACACCCTTTAAAAAGCAACCATCAACACCTATGATCCTTCTGCAACCAGCTAGCCAATTTTGCCTCAAAGCACCAAAACAAATGAACATCCTTTTAAACACCCTCTTTCCTTCTTTCAAGGCAGCACTACATAACTCAATTTCTGCTTTGGAACCTGGATTGCTTTTCTTTAAACATGCAGCATAGGCTTCTAGATATCCAAACTCAGCTTTATAGCTCCCATCCATCTCTTGGATTATCAGCCTCTTTGCTCTTTTACATTTGTACAGGCTGACATTTATCTTCAATTTTTTTTCAGCCTCCTCCTTCATATCAGCAACCCTAAAGCTTGGATTTCTTTGCAGGTGGGGTTTGAAATAATTAGCTAACCATTTCTGGCTGGCACTAGGAATAGAAAAGTGCCTAAAGCACTTGTGCTCCGGATTACAAACCTTGACCGCCAGCCCACAGTTCTTCCCATCTTTAGATATCCACAACCTAAAAGGACAACCCTCCTCATTCAGACATCTCACTGCCAAACGGGTCTTTTCATTTGGTTTTATTTTCAGCTTATACCCATATTTGACTCCATAATTAGCAATTGCTGTTCGGGCCTCTTTAACATCTTCAAATGTCATTCCATTCATGAACGTACCTGATCCATCATTTACAGCATAACCCTCTCTTGGTTCTTCATCTGAGGACACATCAGATTTGTTGTTATCTTCATCCTCATCCTCTTCTTGCTCTTCATTAGAATGCTCATCTGTTTCATAACCATTTGGTACACCTCCAGTGTGAACTTCAGGTTGGTCTGTAAGATCTTCATTAGCAGTTTCAGAACCAGCCCCATCCCCAGTTTCTACACTTTGCTCTGGGACACTACAGCCTTCAATTAGGGGAATTAGAAGAGGTTCATCTAGTTGATGATCAGCATACAATTCAATATCATCAACCCAAGAGTATCTTCTAATACGATTTAACACCTTCCTTATTGTGTCATCATCTTGAACTAAGAATAGGCCATTATCCATATCCTTTCCAGGTTCTAAGACATAAATATTTTTAAGAGTTTTAAAACCCAAATCATCTTTGTATTTCCTTGATATGTCATGATAACACAAATAATCAGGGTCGAATCCATAGATTGTATCCACGTCCCCATTCACATACTCTAAAGGCTTGAACACCCACCTCCCACTATGGTTAAACCTCAGGTTGACCAACCCACTCATTTTTACAGTACAAGCAAGACGAACGAACGGAGTACCTTACAGCGTAAATGGTTGCTTACAGTCCATCACTTCTAATCTTCTCAGCCGAGGTTGCTTAGAGTCCATGAAAATCGATTTAGGGTTGTAAATGCTCGTTCGATGTTTTAGCGCAGGGGAAAGGGGGTGTATAAGCCAAGGTAACGGCCGTTTGACAAGGGAGTTAGTGGGCGGGTAGAAATTAAGGTATAAGGTTATAATTGTGTCTAATTGGTCCACTTAAAACCTGAATGTCATATATGATCTTCATTAAAAACCTTAGTGTCCATTTTGGCCCTTCTCCCAAATACAAACATAACTGACTTAAAGAACCCGTCCTCGGATTTCATGGTGGTAGGGTTTTCAAAGGATAGAGAAAGGATGCATGAGAGATGGTAAAAGAAAGAAAGATAGGTTGTGTCTAACAGCAAGAGAAAGGAATGGATAATGGATGAAGCCATGAAGGGTGAATGTATAAGGATTATTCAAAACGGGTGATTATCTCATAAGGTTAAATGTGTCATTGCACTTTATTTACTACCAAAAAGGAAAAGTGACCAAGTATTTTGGAGCAGCCAAATAAGGAAATATGGCTAACCAAATAGGGACGGAGGGAGTATTAGTTTATGATTACGTGAATCTTATATCAGTCCTAGATCAGACCAGACCAGACTAGATCAGACCAGACCAGACTTTACTTCCGTAGTTATAAAATGTTGAAGATGGAGTCTTGTTCTGAACTTTAAAGGAGTTACCCGACCGGGTATATTATGTCACCCGACCGGGTATGTTGATGTAACACCCCGGCCCCAAATCTCAAGTGTTACAGTTGAAGCAGAGACCTGGGAACTCACTGGAACGTGAGACCCGACCGGGTCAGGAGACGGACCTGACCGGGTCAGCGAAGGTTTCACTTTCTGTTTTGGATACCCGCCCTGGTATCAGCCCGGGCATGAAATTTGTGAAGAGACCCGACCGGGTCAAGGGGGGCACCCGACCGGATCTACGGGATTTTTTAATTACGGGCTTAATTTTAATCAGGGCCTGCGGCTCTAATCTCAGTTTAGGTTTTCTTAAACCTATTTAAACGACTCTTATGTACTTGTAAACCCCTTGGGACGCTGATAATAATACATCCTCTCTCTCGTTCGCCGTGGACTAGCACAATCAACCCGATTGTGTGAACCACGTAAATTCTTGTGTTCTTGCTCTTAATTTATCGTTTATCTTTGCCTAATCGTAACATAAAATACACAAAGACCAGACGTTTACCAGACCAGATCAGACCAGTTCAGACCAGACCAGACCAGACCAAACCAGACCAGGCCAGACCAGTAAAATTTTAGTCCAACAGAAAACATCCTAAATTAGTTAGTTTTCCGCACATGTTGAGTTACATAGTGGAACCGGTTCCGAAATGGGTAAGCCCAGTTCTCTGTTGTTCGGTTCCATATTTTTTTGTAAGATATATACTCGTTACATCTGAATTGATCT